TGTGTCATAATGGGATATCTCCCTAAAACTGATGTGTAATTGAGAAAAGGAGTTAGAGTGATCTAGAGATGTTTGTTTATGCTCCCCCTCCACGTTCGCTGCGTGCGCCGGACCGCAGAGGGAGGAAGAGAAAGCGGAAGGGTGGACCCGGGGAGGGTCCGCTGGGCTCTGCAGAACGAACTGTAGCGCCCGCCATGGAGGGGTCGGGGGAGCCCCCGCTGGATGCCAAATCCAAGGTAAGTCCTGACGGTGAAGGAGCGGGAAGAGCTGGCTCGGTCCCGAGACCTTTCCCTAAATTGTTTTCTGCTTCCGTTTCAGGTCACCAACCAGGTGAGTGAGCGGTCGCCCCGCCCTGTCTGCAGGTGGCATCCTCTGGGCCAGGGCCACCGGCCCGCCCCCACGGCTGGAGGACGGTGCACCGAGATCCGTCGCGGGTTCTAACCCTAGGCCAGGAGCGACCCTCAGTCCGCTCCCTGCATTGCCCCTTCCCCTTCGCACCTGGGATGGTAGCCGCCTTTCCCACCGGTCCCAGCCCCAGAATGCGGGTGACGAGTTTTTCTTTCATTAGGCCACGAATAACGAAATACACAAGTGTTTTATAATAGAGCGTGATGCGTATAGGAGGAGTTAACAGATACGTCACTGCAAGTATTTTCTTAGCCTTTACTTTGAAGACTTAGCTTTTAAACGTAGCTTTTTAACTTTTTAGAGTATATATTATGCTAGCAGTAGGGATTTGACTTTTTAAAGTATATCTCTGGCCTGTTTAAGTGTACCTGTAGTGTTTCAGCTGGTAAACCGTTTTTAGACAAATGACTTACAATACACTTCATAGAAGAGTACTAAAACTATATTATTTTAGGTGAGAAGTTAACCCAAGTCCACACAAAACTATGTGTTAATAGAAGTGAAGTAAAGGGGCCACAGGTGGCATGGTGGTTAAGGCATTGGAATTCCCACGTGGTTGACTAAGGTTCTAGTCTCAGACCTGGTGGCCTGTTCTCTCTCTCTCTCTGCCAAAACTCATGTGAAAAAAAAAAATAATAAATAAATAATTAAAGAAAAAAAGTTAAGTAAGAAATGAAGAGAATGCAGGGGCCGAGAAGATTGGCTGCTTGCTCTGTCTGGGTCAGCAGCTACTTTTGCTGTCACTTTTGAGGATTCCTGGGAGGTAGGAGAATTTGGAGAGAGCAGCCTTCTACATGGCTTTGCTTAGAGTTACATGAGTTAGTGCATTTTGATTCAGTCTAATAAATCATTTTATCCTACTCACTTACATTATGTCATGTATTTGTGTAAGAAATCCAGAAACGGAATTAACTAGATTATAGAGTTTTTTAAGTTGAATTTTTTTTCTGCTGTTTTACTTAAATGGTTATTGGAAAACTGATGATGCATTTTTGCATAGAAAAACACATGACTTTTCTGATGATCCAATATTACCTTAGAATTTTAGAGTTCACAAGTCTAAAACTAGCTGTATAGGACTAAAGTGACTTGTGTAAGGCCATGTTCCTACTGGAGGCTATAGAGGAGAGTCTGTTCCCTTGTTTTTCTTGCTCCTAAAGCTTTCCTGCCTTCTTTGGCTTGTGGTCTCTGCTGCCATCTTCATAGCACCTCTTTCCAGCCTCTTCTTAGGTGGTCACATTGCCTTCTCTGCCTCTGGCCCTTCTTTCTTGTAACGGTCCATGTGATTACATTGGGCCCACCTGGATAATCCAAGAAAATCATTCTACTTCAAGATTCTGAATTTTTGTCAAATCTGCAGAGCCCATTTTGTCAGGGAACATGACATACTCAGATTTTAGGGATCAGGATGTGGACCTGTTTGAGAGATCTTAAATACCCCTTCCATGCCATCATTCACAGGTTATATGAGTATTTGCAGTAGAAAAGCCAAGATAATTTACAAATAATTAATATGAGAGTTTAGCAAGTTGATACAGTTGTTTTTCTATAGTTCAGACACAGTGTTGGAAAGTAAAATTTTTAAAAAGATGTCATTTACAACAAATTATAAGGTACCTTGTAATAAGTCTAATGAAGATGTTTAAAATCTTTATAATGACCATCATAAAAAGCAATAGAGAGACATCTAGTTTCTAGTCCAGTATGTAAGGAGTTTAGGAGTCATCTCTGCCTCTCTTTTTTTTTTGGAGAGGTTTTCGTTATAGGGTGTGTGCACTTGCCAGAAAGACAGAGAGAGACAGAGAGACAGAAAGCGAGAAATCACCCCCCAGGAGAGATGGCCACACTGCAGTCCCTTCTCCATTCTCCTCTTGGGATCTTGGGCACGCATGCACACATGCCCAGCGTGAGTTTAAGCCACCGGGTCTGAGACTCGAACCGTGGTCGGCTACATGGGAGTCCAGCAACATAGCCATTACACTCACTGCTGGTCCCAGGAGTCATCACTGTCTTTTAATAAGCAGAAACTGAGCAAATTGAAATATCAACCTTTTAAAAAGTATCTTATTCATGTGTTCATGTAGGAGAGAAACATCCTTGTAAGGGTCTAATCGTGTTATGCTCCCCTTTCTCCAGCCCTCCCAGTCATCAGGATCTTGGGCACATGTGCACGTTTCCAGTGTGTTCTCAGACTGACGTGGGTATCTAAACCCAAAGTTAGCCATATGGCTTCCAGTACCACAATTCAGCTTGCTACTGTCCTGGGGGAGCCCCAAATCTTAGAGGGCTTGCCTATAATGTTTACTGACTCCAAAGAACATACTTGGAAGTTTAGCAGAAGACATAAATTTACTCATATTGGGGAAAATAAGATTCTGCTGAAGGCCAGGTGGAGAATGGTCTGTGCTGCTGTGATCGCAGGGTCAGGTTTTACACAATAACAAATTATTTATAAATCAATTAAAGATCACTGCAGGCTCCCTGCCTCTTAAGACAGGAGTCTGGTTTGTATGTACATTGCTTGAAGGTTACCCTATTGGTGAATAGAATCAGCATAGTATATTTAGGATTTAGTGCCCCTAATTTAGTGATGCTAATGTGTGCGGGAGTGTGTACCTCTGGAATGTCGCCCAGCCATAAGCTAATTCTGTGAGGTGAAGGTAAAGGTCACAAGATGTTCAGAAGGCCCAGTTGAACCAATAGCTGGGTGTCAGGGAGATAAGGTGAAGGGGAGAGGGGAGCTCAGTGTATGGATCCTATTCTCAACTACTGATGGCACCACCAAGTTGGGCCTCTCTTTGCTCTGAAGCCCAATTTACCAAGGCTTTTATACCCATCACTCTTGTCAGGGTTGTCACTGATTTCTGTGTTACCACACCCAGTTTCTAGTCCTCATCTTATTTGACTTCTTAGCACTATTTGACACAGTTGATGTCCTTAAAACACCATCTTCACTTCTCTCAGAGTTATTCTCATTTCCTTCCTACTTTGCTGGTGGTTCTTTATCAGGCTCCCTTGCTAGATCCTCTTTGTAATGCGTTGAAGTATAGTTATCACTCAGTCTAATGGTTTTAGTTATCTACATGCTCATGATTCAAAATGTATATATTCAGTTTCAGTATCTCCCTTGAATCTCATGCTCATTAATTAGTTTCTTGTCATCTTCCCTTGGAAGTGAGGCGTTTCAATTGTAAAACGTTCAATACCACAGACTTTATTCTCACTGCCTCCGATATCCTTGTCCCAATCTGTTTTCCCAGTGTTTCGCATCTCAGTAAGTAGTCATGCTATTTATCTGATTGCTTAAGGTTAAACCCTTGAAGTTGATGTTGGAAGTTTGGGACCACTTTTTTTTCTGACAACTCTCAGATTATACATCAGTATATTGTTTTCTCTACTTAAAAAGACACGTACTGTAAATTCACCTCCCCTTGCTGTTACCTGGGTCCAAGTTACTATCATCTTTCTCAGAATATTGTAGTAGCCTTCCAACTGGATGTCTGTGTTTTCTCTCTTAAACTTGATTTCCCACCCAGCAGTATTAATGAATTTTGCTGTCTAAATTAGACCACGTCTTTTAAATCTGTGCCATTAATTTCTATTTAAGGCTAAATCACATTTATTAGAAGGTTTGCTTCTAATTTGCATGTAAATGTTGAGTTTAGAATTTTGGAAATTCTTAATTCATAAACCTAATCCTAGTTTTCTTTCTTTTTTTTTTTTGGAGAGTTTTTGCTATAGGGCACGTGTGCTCGCCAGACAGACAGAGAGACATAGAGACAGAAAGCAAGAAATCCACCCCAGGGGGGATGGTCATGCTGCAATCCCTTCTCCTCCATTCTCCTCTCGGGATCTTGGGCATGCACGCACACGCGCCCAGCGTGAGTTTTAAGCCACCAGGTCTGAGATGCGAACTGCGGTCAACTACATGGGAGTCCAGCAACATAGCCATTACGCTAACTGCTGGTTCCCCCTAGCTTTCTTTTATTCATGAATCTACCTTTACACAATAAATGCCTTGATGGCAGCTCTTCATTCCTCACCTGACAGTTTCACTGTTTTAATGGTCAGTGGATTCCAACATTATGCTCCTTGATTGCCTTTGTGCTTGAAGTGTTATAGATGTTTCAGTTTTATTATAGATCCTGACAGTCAAATAGGCAATATTTTACTGTACTATTTTACTGAGGATAGTAACAATGAAATTTCTCATCAAAGCTGAATAAGGGTAAGAAGAAGAAATTTCAGGGCTGACGGGTGGTGTAGTGAGTAGTTAGGGGCGCTAGACTCCCACATGGCCAACTGCGGTTTGAGTCTCAGACCTGGTGGCTTGCTTTCCCACTTTACATTTCTGTCTCTCTCTGGTTAAAGAATAATAATAATTAAATAAATGAATAAATCTTTTTTTAAAAAAAGATTTATTCATTTATTTAATTATTATTATTCTTTAACCAGAGAGAGACAGAAATGTAAAGTGGGAAAGCAAGCCACCAGGTCTGAGACTCAAACCGCAGTTGGCCATGTGATAGTCCAGTGTCCCAACCATCATGCCACTTACCGGCCCTAATAAAATAATCACTTAAAAAAAAAAAAAAAGAAATTTCTGGTTTGATTTTTGGATATTGTCCTTGAGCTGAAATATAAACTTCTCTATGACCTTACCTGCATTCTATTCTCACCACTTATTGTACATTTATAATTAGATATCCCTAACATCATCTTGTTGTTAAAATTTTTTTTAAGTTATGCGTTTTTTTTTTTTTTTAGTTTAAAAAAATTATGTATTCATTTCTTCTTTGAAAGAAAGAAAAATGGCTCCCCCCTTGGGGATCCCCATGCCATGGTCCATCCCCTATTCTTGGTTGGCTCAAGTGATGAGTCTTCATTACCAAGATAGAATATATGAGAGTATTTTGGCAACCTCAGAGCTCAGTTTGTGAAGAATTAATTAGCTTTTTGATGACTTTTGTCAATTTTATTTTTCACACTTCCTCACATGAGCCTCCCACCTTAAGACAGATAAATGCTCTCTCTCTAATTACATGTTGACTGTTTCAACTATAGTTAGTTAATTCAGCTTAGTATTTATGAAGTGTTTATTCCTTGCTAGATATATATTTATGAAATATATAAAAAAAGCATATTTTTCTCTCAATCCTAGTCCTGTTTATCCTTCAAAACAGAGCTTAAAGCTTATGTCCTTTGAAAATTTTCTCTGATCTCCCATGCTATAATAAAATTTTCCTTTCAGTTAGAAATATGGTGTTCAGTGATTGTTTCTGATTTCCCTGTACAAAATAATGAATGCCAAAAAAGTGCATAAAATATGAACAGTTTAATGAATCATTCTAAAGCAAATCTATGTGTAACCATAGTCAAAAGACAAGAAATGGAGCATTACCAGTATCCCAGAAGCTCGTCACCTGGCCCTCCCTGGTTAATCCCCCTCCCTCTACATTAGAGGTATGGTTGTCCTTTTGGGACACTCATATTCTTATTTCTTCATAGTTTTGCTTCCTTTTCCTCAAGTTTAAGTGAGTTAACTCACATAACCTTTCTTTTTGTTTTCTTTTTTAGAATGATTTGTTGTATTTTATTATTATTTTTATTTAAAAAAAAAATTTTGACCAGAGACAGAGAGAAAGGGAAAGTGAGAAAGCCACCAGGTCTGGGACTCAAACTGTGGGAGTCCAGTGCCCCAACCACCATGCCACTTGCTGGCCCATCACATAACCTTTTTTTTTTTTTTTTTTAATAATTTTTTTACTTAACTTTATTATTATTTTAATTTGACCAGAGAGAGAGAGAGAGTGGGGTGGGGGATAGTGAGAAAGCAAGCTGCTGGGTCTGGGACTTGAACCACGGTTGGCCAGGTGGGATTCCAGTGCCCTCAACCATAATGCCACTGGCCAGGTCCTTCACATAACCTTTTGATTTGTTTCTTTTAATATTTTCAGTGTTAAGTGTAACTGAAGTTCATTTCTTTTCATTGCCGTATGGCGTTTCATTTACTCATTTTATTAGGAACATTTGGGTTGTTTCCAGTTTAGGGTTATTATGAATAACGCTACTACAGATATTCTTGCATATGTGTCTTGTGTTTTTCTGTCTTTTTTTCTTTTCTTTTTTTCATGATTTTTGCTATAGGGCACTCATGTTTGCCAGAGAGACAGAAGGGAAGTGAGAAATCATCCCTCAGGGGGGAGGGCCACACTGCAGTCCCTTCTCCAGTCTTTTCTCAGGATTTTTAGCATGCACACACACATGCCCAAAATGATTTTCAAGCTGTCAGGTGTGGGACTTGAACCTCATAGTTGGCCATGAGGGGTCCAGCACCTTAACTGCATGCCACCTGCTGGTCCAATGTGTGTGCATGTGTTTTTAATGGCGAGAGGATATGTATGTCTGAAAGAGAGAGAGCGAACTCCGTCACCCATGGAGTGTTGTCATATCACAGTCCTTTTGCCTTTGTTTCTCCATCTTGCTGTGTTGTGGGAACTCACATGTGCCCAGCACGATTTTTCCAGATGCCAGGGCCAGGTTTGAATCACAGTTGGCCATGTGGGATCTGGCTCCTTATACACAGTACTTTGTAACTGCTGTGCTTTTGGGCCAGCCCTCTTTTTCACAGGTACATCCATACTAGTATTGCTGGATCACAGTATTCATAACTTAAGTTTTCCTAGGAAAAGCCACTATTCCAAAAGATTGGCCCGATTTAGACAAGCATATGATGCTTCCATGGACTTGATATCCTTTTGCACCAGTACTTTGAAATCATCAGGCTTATAGATTTTTCATTTTGGTAGGGGCTTATCAGTAATTTCATGGTTTTCATTTTCATTTCCATGTTTCATAATGAAGGTGAACACCTTTTCATATATTTATTAGCCATTTGTAATTTTTTTGTGGTTTTATTTACTGTTCTTTATTTTCATATGGAGAACCCTTCTTTAAAATTAATGAATACAAGGACCAGCAGTTGGTGTAATGCCTGTGTCACTGGACTCCCATGTAGTCAACCATGGTTCGAGTCTCGGACCCAGTGGCTTAAACTCATGCCGGGCGCATGTGTGTGTGTGTGTCCAAGATCCTGGGAGGAGAATGGAGGAGAATCACCCCTGGGGGGTGATTTCTCGCTGTCTGTATGTCTGTCTCTGTCTTTCTGGCGAGTGCACGCACCCTCTAGCAAAAACCTCTCCAAAAAAGAAAAAAAAAAATTAATGAGTACGATCTTTATTATTATTAAAGGTGTTAACCTTTTACCAGCACCAGTTTAGCCTAAATGCTGTAGCAGTTTGGTCCAAAGCCAGTCTTGAGACAGGAGGAAATTTTGGCCTCTAAGCCAATCCCAACTTTTAGGCAAAGGAATATGTTAACAAGCGAAACATTTTGCCTGGTCTTCATTCATTTGGTAGCAAAAGGTCCAGCCAAACTGCAAGTATCTCCTGAGTGCCTGCTATGTACCAGGCACCTGTCTTAACTAAGCTCTGAAAACAAAATAGACACAATTCCTCCACCCATGGTCTTATTAAGAGTTGTGTTTATCTAATTCTGTTTTTTGGTATGGCAACACTGAATAATCACTGACAAAAATTAGATTTAAAAATATTGATGTAGCCAGTACTCAGTAAGTATGTAGTCTTTGGAGTCAGAGTTTAGTTTCAGTTCTGATTTCAAAACCATATGACCTTGCCCATATTACCTGAAATTCAGATGTGTCATCCTTGAAATGGAAATAACAAGGTACAAGGTTATGGTGATTCAGTGAGGCATTTAGTACCTGTGAGCTGCATAGCGTGCTCATCACCAGGCAAGCACCCCTCGTGAACACTGATGAAATCTAAACTCACCTCATCAGTATGTGTGCTAATAAAAGGTTTGAACCTAAGGACTATGGTGAGTAAAGGAACTGGAATGGTTCCCCTGTGTTTCTTTCTTTCTTTTTTTTTTTTTTTAATTTTTTTTACATCTTCTTTTTTAAAAAAATTTAATTTTATTTATTCATTCATTTATTTTAATTTGACCAGAGAGAGAGACACAGAGAGAAAGGGAAAGTGAGAAACCAAGCCACCAGGTCCGGGACTTGAACTATGGTCAGCCATGTGGGAGTGTCCAGCGCCTTAACCACCATGCCACTTGCTGGACCCGGTTCCCCTGTATTTCTCAGTCTGTTTTTCCAATCGTGTGACACAGAACTTGGGGGTATGGAATGGGGGACAGCATTTCTGGAATAGGAAACTGAGGTAACATGTTCCAGAGCATTTAGAGTTCCTTGAAGCATAGGGACAAAATGTAAGCCTATTAAAACCAGCTCTGGGACCAGCAGTTGGAGTAATGGCTATGTCACTGGACTCCCATGTAGTTGACTGTGGTTTGAGTCCCGGACCCAGTGGCTTAAACTCACGCCAGGCGCATGTGCATGCGTGCCCAAGATCCCAAGAGGAGAATGGAGGAGAAAGAATTGTGGCGTGACCATCCCCCTGAGGGGTGATTTCTCGCTTTCTGTCTCTTTCTGATGAGCACACGCACCCTATAGCAAAACCTCTCAAAACAAAACAAAACGGCGCTGACACCTCTTTCTTCTCCCACTATACAAAGTGGTAGAGATTTTGTTTTTAACTTTTTGCCTTTTGTAACTAGGACAGCTTTGTTTCCTAACTCTGTTATATCCCTTATTACCACTCCATTTTAATTTCATTATTCTTCCTCTAGCAATATGAAAATGGAGGTATTTTCTTTTATTCTGACCAGTGTCAAAACTGCCAGTGAGAGAGCAGTGAAATTGAATAAATCCTGGATTCGAGGCACTGTTACTGCTAATATGTTCTTTTGTACTGTTTTATTAAAGCTCATAGATTTTCAGTGGAAACTGGGGATGGCTGTGAGCTCCGACAGTTGCAGATCCCTTAAATATCCGTATGTGGCGGTGATGCTAAAAGTGGCGGATCATTCAGGGCAAGTAAAGAACAAGTGCTTTGAAATGACAATTCCACAGTTTCAGGTTTGTGATTTCATTCATTCCATTTTAGTTCATTTTTTTGTAATTGCTACTTAAATAGATAAGTGAAATCTTGCTTAACGGAACATTTTAATGATCTTTTTTTGCAGATTGATGTACTTTACAATGATTAATATACCCCAAAGATCTGAACTTATTTGCTTTGAGAATATGATAAACTATTTTCCATATAATGGGCTGAGTTTGTGTACTGAGCTGTTTGATCACTTTAACAGTACTCCTTTATGAATGTAATTAGGAAATTTTCATCTTCCCTGGCAGAATATTTATTTTGCAGTTAATGGTTTCGCTCTTATTCCTTTAGGAATTAATATTTAGGAAGGTTGGGCTAAATGAATCTTTTCTTTGAATAGCATTGAGCCTGAATTTTCTGACTAATTATGTTTATAAAATGCAGATCAGAGCACCAGTGCTTATTGACTGGTTTTATCAGCTAAAGATTTAACTAATGCAGTTCAGTAGTCTTCCTTGACCCACAGTTTCAGTTACTTAAAGTCAACTGTAGTCCAAAAATGTTACATAGAAAATTTTAGAAATAATTCGTAAGTCTTAAATCACACACCATTGTGAGTAGTGTGATATTACCTCATGCCATCCCATCTCAGACATGAATCATTGCCATGTCCAATGTATCTACCCTTTATATGTCACCTACCCATTAATCAACCACTTAGTAGCCATCTTTTTTTTTTTTTGAGAGATTTTCACTATAGGGCACGTGCACTTGCCAGACAGACAGAGAGACATAGAGACAGAAAGCAAGAAATCACCCCCCCAGGGGGGATGGTCACGCCGCAGTCCCTTCTCCTCCATTCTCCTCTTGGGATCTTGGGCACGCACGCACACGCACTCGGCATGAGTTTTAAGCCACAGGGTCCGGGATGCGGACCGTGGTCGACGACGTGGGAGTCCAGCGACAGCCATTACATTAACTGCTGGTTCCCAGTAGCCATCTTGATCTGATCGAAAAAACAGTATGGGCACACCTCCATATCCTTGAGGGATTGGTTGCAGAACCCTGGTGAAATACCAAAAGCTATGGATTCTCAAGTCCCTTCTGTAAAGAGTGTAGTGTAGGGCAGCAGGTGGCATGTGGTGAAGGTGTTGGACTCCCACATGATCAACCACAGTTTGAGTCCCAGACCTGGCAGTTTGAAAATCACAGCATTGTTGTGCATGCACACTCAAAATCCTAGGATGAAATTGAGGAGAAGGGACTGGAATGTGGCCATCCTCCATGGGGAGCAATTTCTCACTCATCCTCTCACTTTCTCTCTTTGTAGAATGCACATGCCCTGTGGCAAAAACCTTAAAAAAATAGGGTGTGGGACCAGCAAATGGTATAGCAGTTAAGTTGCTGGACTCCCATGGAGTTGAATGCGGTTCAAGTCTTGGACCCAACAGCTTAAAACTCACGCTCAGCACATGTGAGTGCATGCCCAAAATCCTGAGAGGAGAATGGAGAAGGGATTGTGGCATGGCCATTCCCCCTGGGGGATGATTTCTTACTTTCTGTCTCTCCACCAAGCCTACGGATCCTATAGCAAAAATCTTTCTCTCAAAAAAAAAAAAATAAAATAAAATAGGATGTAGAATTTGCATGTAAGCTATCTATATTTGTATGTGTATATATATATTTTCTTATGAATAAGGGACCAGTAGATGGCCTGCGGGCCCAGAGGACAATGTAGGGGAAAGGATTGCAGTGCGGCCATCCTTCCCTGGCGGTGATTCTCCCTTTCTGTCTCTCTGTCTCTTTGGTTAGTAAGGTGTCCTATAGCAAAAATCTCAAAAAAAAATTTTCCCCCCATAGGGAAAAAAAAAATCCCTCACAAATGGAATTCCCCCCCGTTTTATTGCTGTATTATTGACTAATAAAAATAGCGCAACATGATGATTTTTAAGGGGTGCAACATGATGATTTCCTGAATGTACACACTGTGTCACTATTCCCAAATCAGAAATCTGTCGCCACACATAAGTCTTTTTTTTGTATGTACATGTAGTGGAGACAATTAAAATGTACTCTCTTGGCAAATTTCAAGTAAACAATGCAGTATTATTATCATTTTTTAAAGAATTGTTTAGGGACCAGCAGTTGGCATGATAGCTATTTCGCTGGACTCCCATGTAGTCCACCACAGTTTGAGTCCCACACACGGTGGCTTAAACTCAAGCCGGGTGCCTGTTTGTGTGTACCCAAGATCCCAAGAAAAGAATAGAAGAGAAGGGATTCCGGTGTGGCCATCACCCCGGGAGGGTGATTTCTTGCTTTCTTTCTGCCTGTCTGTCTCTGTCTTTCAGGTGAGTACTCGTGCCCTATAGCAAAAACCTCTCCAAAAAAAAAATAAAAAGAATTGTTTATCTCCATTTTATTTATTACTATTAGTTTAAAATTTGCTATAGGGCACATGGGCCCACTAGAGAGAGATAGAAAGAAGAAGAGAAAGTGAGAAAGCAGGTCACCAGGTCCTGGACTTGAACCACAGTCGGCCATGTGGGAGTCCAGCACCTTAACCACCCGACAATACATTATAACTTAAACGTTTATATCCTTTAACCACTATCTCTCCACTTCCCCCCCATTCCCAGCCCTGGGCAACCGTAGTTGTACTCTCTGTTTCTATGAGCTCAGCTTTTTTAGATTTGACACGCAAGTACGATCATACAGTGTATACCTTTCTGGGCTGGCTTATTTCATTTAGTCTGTTGTCCTCTGTGTTCATCCATGGTGACCCATTGGCAGCATTTCTTTTTTTTTTAATTGCTAAATAAAATTTCATTGACTACTATCAGTGTATATTTTTAAAGCTATAGTTACACATGACTTCATTCCATAACTAATTTACGTATAAATTAAAGCAAAATACAGGAGTTGGCAGGTGGCATGGTGATTGAGGCTCTGGACTTCCACATGGGTGACCACAGTTCAAGTCCCAGGCTGGGTGGCCCCAAAATCATAACAAATAAAAAATGTTTACCCAAAAAACCTAATACCTATACACTATTTATTTATTTATTTTTGCTCTAGGGTGCTTGTGCTCACCAGTGAGAGAGAGAGAAAATGAGAATCTCCCCCCTCCAGAGGGGATGACTACACCACATACCCTTCTCCAGTTTCCTGTTGGGATTTGGGGAATGCACACATGCATCAAACAAGGTTTTCAAACCACCAGGTCCAGGACTTGAACCACGCAGCAGCCGCTTTAACCTCCACGCCCCTGCTGGTCTTCAATCACTCTTAAGTAGCAAAACATAAAATTAAGACAAAAGAAAAAAACACATATATGAATCATTAAAATCTTAATTGCTGAAGTTAAGATTCAAATTTGTCTTCTAGCTTCCTTGAAGGCACTGAAGAAAAAAGGAAACAGATTTTGTGGATCCCTCCCTTCTGAGATTAAAGAAAAAGATGCCTTCTATAGGAGAACCACCATGGCAACTTAATATTTAAATGACAGAGAAATAGTCTTCTGCCATATAAGCCATTGCCAGTCTGGGTTTCTTTTATCAAAATTGAACCCATGATCTTTTTTACCCCCCAAAAGTTTGGATTTCTTTTATTGAAATTGAACTCATGATCCTTTTTTTTTCTCCCCAAAGGTTTTTGCCATAGGGTTCATGTGCTCACCAGAGAGAGAGTAAGGGAAAGTGAGAAATCACCCCCTAAGGGGGACGGCCATGCCGCAATCCCTTCTCCTCCTGGGATCTTGGGCAGGCATGCATGTACCTGTGCCTGGTGTAATTTTCTTCCTTCCTTCCTTCCTTCCTTCCTTCCTTCCTTCCTTCCTTCCTTCCTTCTTTCCTCTCTTCCTTACTTCACTCCTTCCTTCCTTCCTTTGCTCCTTCCTTCCTCTCCCTTCCTTCCTTCCTCTCTCTTCCTTCCTTCCTTCGCTCTTCCTCCCTTTTAATTTGGCCAGAGAGGGACAGAGTAAGAAAGAGAGGAAATGTGAGAAAGTAAGCTGCTGGGTCCAGGACTCAAACTGCTGTTGGTCATATGGGAGTCCAATGCCCTTAACTACCACGCCCCTGCCAGCACTACTGCCTGGTGTAATTTTCAGGCCGCTAGGTCCAGGACTTGAATGGTGGTTGGCCATGTGGGAGTCTAGCACCTTAACTACTACACCACCTGCTAGCTCCAAAACCCACAATCTTTTAAAAATTATTTAATTTTATTTATTGTTATTATTAATTTTTAATTTGACCAGACAGAGACAGAGAGAGAAAATGAGAAAGCAAGCTGCCAAGTCCAGGACTCAAACCTCAGTCGGCCAGGTGGGAGTCTAGCACTGAAACGACCACGCCACCTGCCAGTCTGGAACCCATAATCTTAAATAAGATACTCCCTACTTCCCTGGAGTATAGTCGTAATTAAATTTAGAATGGTTTTTGGTCTGGAATAGGCCTATCATTTTAGTTTTTATCTTCCATGTCTAAGACAGTGCTGTTATGAATCTTAAAATAACTGCCCAATTTGCTTTTTCAAAAATTTAATCCAGGGAACCAGCAGTTAGCATAATGGCTATGTCGCTGGATTCCCACGTAGTCGACCGCCGTTCGCATCTCGGACCCAGTGGCTTAGAACTCACGCCGGGCGCGTGTGCGTGCGTGCCCAAGATTCCGAGAGGAGAATGGACGAGAAGGGATTGCGGCGTGACCATCCCCCCGGGAGGTGATTTCTCGCTTTCTGTCTCTCTGTCTCTCTCTGTCTGTCTAGTGAGCCCACGTGCCCTATAGCAAAAAAAAAAAAAAAAATTAATCCTGAGCTAATTATCTGACTTTATAATAGTATTTTGCTTGCAATACTAAATTTCTCTTGTTTGTTTCTTATAGCAATCTTCAGTAGTTGAGGATGTATTAATAAAATGCAAACCTAATATGGTTTATAGCCTCTGGTAATCAGATATAATTAAAAGAATTACTTAAATATTCTATGAAAGTGAAATTAATACATATTCTCTGTTTCTCCCCAGAATTTCTACAGACAGTTCAAAGAAATTGCTGCAGTTATTGAAACCGTCTGAAAGCTGGTTATTTGGTTGAGAACTTGCTGTTGTCATTCTTAACACACGCTTCACTTTCTGCAGTAATACTGCATAAGGATCAAAGGATATTTATTGAATGAAATTATACTGTGGTTTGTCAATTTTTTGAAATAAGTCAAACAGGCTGGAATCAGTGATGATTGTGCAACCTTGCGAAGGTGCTACACATGACTGAATTGAATGCTCCAAATGGTGTGCTTTGTGGTCTGTGAATTATATCTCAGTAAAAAAAAAGTCAAAGGAACAGAAGAATATAAAAAAAAAATCAAAGGAACAGAAAAAAGAACAGAAGGCAACACGAGTTTATGTATTAGAACAATAGTTTTAAAATGTATTGGTATTGGAAGGATTTTATGAAAAAAAGGTCTCACATGGAGTCATATATATATCAGATTTATGTACTGATCCTTTGCGGTTCGTAAGCATGAGTAGGTTTTCACACCATTATGTGAGATTTGCCTCCCTCAAACCTTGTTACAATATTGGCACTGTATCTGTCTGATGTAAAAAATAAATAAATCATAAGATAGAAATCAGAAAATTATTATTTGGTTGTCATCACCTTACTTAGTCTTGTAACTGTCCCTTAATAATAATAAAGGCAAGAGTAAGCTTTCTTTTCTCAAAGATTGGAATCAAGATCGGCCATTCCTTCCTTATATTTATTCTCAAATTCAGTTATTTCTGTTACCTGTAGTTCAAACGTATGTCCAGAGATAGTTTTACTCTGAGTTCTGTATATTGGGTCATCGAAAAAGTCATGATGTATTTTTTCTATTCAAAAATGCGTCATGACTTTTCCAACAACCAAAGCCAACTGAGTTAAGCTGTTAGCACAAGATATTGTGTTAAACGGTTTCTGTTAAATTGAAGTTTATAAACCAAGATGCCAGCAGGTGGTGTGGTAGTTAAGGCGCTGGATCCCACATGGCCTCTGTGTTTGAGTCCCAGACCCAGCAGTTTGAAAAACATGCTGGATGTGTGTGCCAAAATCCTGAGGAGAAGGGGGAGAAGGGATTGTGGCATGACCATGCCCCCTGGGGAGTGATTAATCACTCTCCCACTCTCTCTCTAGTGAGTGCGTGTGCCCTATAGCAAAAATCTTAGACAGTTAAACTGGGGAATTGGGAGATAGGATTTATTTCAAGCTTTGACACTAACTTAGTGCACTAAGGCAAGTCCCTTAACCTCCTGGTCTCAGCGTCCCCATTAAAATCATTTTATAAACCCCTTGTTAACACATTTTACAAAGCCACAGCAATGAACACTGTATGGCACTGGTCTGGGAATAAGCAAGTACAACGCTGGATACGGCAGTAGGTGGCCTAGAGAGAGATCAAGTCATTAGGGACAAGGATGCTATTGCAGTCAGATGGGAAACCATGTTTTATTTAATAACTGATACTAGCATTCACAACATGTGCAAAAACAAATGCCAGATGGATTAAAGATTTCAATATAGGCGAAAAATATTAGAAATTTTAGAAAACATTTATGTTAACTCAATTTTGGGAAAATCCTATCAAACCAGATAGCATCCTCACAACTGTAAAATAAAATGTAAATAGATTTGAAAAATAAGAACTAAAAATCAGGGGTTGGCAGGCGGCATAGTGGTTTAGGGTGCTAGACTCCCACATGGCACATGGCGGTTCAAGTCCCGGACCAAGTGGCTTGCTTTCTCACTTTCCTTCTCTCTCTCTTTCTCTGGTCAAATTAAAATAAATAAATAGATGAAGTTAAATAAAATAATTCTTTTTAAAAAGACCCTAAAAATTATATTTAGGAAAAAAATAGGCCATAAACAAAGGCAAAAGATCAGTGTGACATGAGTATGTAAGTTAGGCTTTGGTCTGGAAAGTGAATTGCTGTAGAAACTTTAAGTAGGAAGAGATTTGATACAAGAAATTCACTTTTTACACTGTCAAACCAAGGCAACAAAAGGAAAAATCATAGGTGATTTTTAGAAAATCCAATAGTATGGGGACCAGCAGATGGTGTAATGGTTAAGTTACTATACTCCCACGTGGTCGACTGCAGTTACAGTCCCAGATCTGGGGGCTTAACACTCATGCCGGGCACATGTGCCTGTGTGCCCAAAATCCTGAAGAGATGAAGAGAATGGAGAAGGAACTGCTGCATGGCCATCCCCCTTGTGGGGTGGTTTCTCACTTTCTCTCTCTGTCTCTCCATAAAGTTCACACACCCTATAGCAAAAATCTCCCCCACCCCCCCAAAAAATTGAATAGTGCAGGAATTTCAGGTAAAGTCACTGCCAATATTTTCTGATGTTTGCAGCACAAACCAGGACATCACCTGGAAACCATTGCATACACTATGGCTGCCATCTGTCATGCATGTGTCAAGCATGTGCAGTGCAGTAAAAGCTTAAAAGCTGTTCTTTACTATTCCCAGTTAACATGAGTACTTTTTTTTTTTTTATTATTTTATTGGGGACCAGCAGTTGGCATAATGGCTATCTCACTGGACTCCCATGTAGTCAACTGAGGTTCTAGTCCCGGACCCGGTGGCTTAAATTCATGCCGGGCGCGTGTGTGCGTGCCCAAGATCCCGAGAGGAGAATAGAGGAAAAGGGATTGCGGTGTGTCCATCCTCCCTGGGGGGTGATTTCTCGCTTTCTGTCTCTCTGTCTTTCTCTCTTTTTCTGGCAGCGTATGTGCCCTATAGCAAAATCCTCTCCCCCAAAAAGAATTATTTTATTTAAATTTATTTATTTATTTTAATTTTGTCCAGAGAGGGACAGAGAGAGAGTGCAAAAGCAAGAGCAAGAGAGAGAGGGAAAATGAGAGAGCAAGCTGCCAGGTCTGGGACTCAAACCACGGGAGGCCATATGGGATTTCAGTGCCCTTAACCACCATGCCAACTGCTGGCCCCAACACAAGTACTTCTTATTGGTGAAAGTTAAACAAGAACCTTTTTGACACAGGAATTGGTGTCAAAATTCAGTTGAAAGGCTTTTAGCATTTAGAGGGGAGTTCTAGGTAAATAATCCTACTCTGATGGTAGAAGTAGGAATTATGGGGCCAATAGGAGGTATGGTGGTTAAGGTGTTAGACACTCTCACTTGGCTGACCACGGTTCGAGTCCTGGACCTGATGGCTTGCTTTCTCATTTTCCTTCTCTCTCTCTGTATGTCTCTCTCTGGTCAAATAAAAATAAATGAATAAGTAAAATTAAATAAACAATATTTTAAAAATAGAAGTAGGAATTAAGATATTTCTGCAAAACAATACACATAAACGTTTCAGTCCAGGAATATGTCTTTTTGACATAAAGACACTAATATGTAAGGTTATTTGGCAGAATTAGCTAAATGTGCATTTACTTCCTTTGAGCATATAGGAATACTACACTTTGTAGCTTCCCTTGCAGTTTTATTAGAACCACATGATTGGCTAAAATGTCTTAAGCCATATTTAGTCTTGACCATAAATCACTCCTTGTTATCTTCCAAGCTCTCTCCCATTCTTGGTACTGGAAATGAGAGCTCTTAAAATTACTGAACCATAAGGTGGATGGATCCCTGAGTCACCACTGGAGGCAAATTTCTCACGAAAACAGCCTGACTTTGTATGAGCTAGAAACAAACTTACATTATGGTGAGTTGGCCAGATTTTCAAAAGGTTTATTACAACAGCAAGTGAGAAAAAGCTGGATAACATAAAACATATGTATGGAGGTTTGTTTGTTTATTTAGGTTTTGGCCATAGGCTACATGTGTTTGCCAGAAGGAGAAAGAGCAGAAGGAAAGTGAGAAATCACCCTCTAGGTAGGATGGCCATCCCAAAAATCCCTTTCCCATTCACCTCCTGGGATTTTGGGCACGCATGCATGTGTGCACAGTGTGATTTTCAGGCCTCCAGGTTCAGGACTCAAACCATGGTCAGCCATGTGGGAGTCCAGCACCTTAACCACCACGCTACCTGCTGGCCCCCGGAGGTTTTTATTTTAGCATTTCCTTTCCTTTTTTTTTTTTTTTTTTGAAAAAAGAATTATTTATTTTTATTTATTCATTCATTTATTTTAATTTGACAAGAGAGACAAAGAGAGAAAGAAAGGGAAAGTGAGAAAGCAAGCCACCAAGTCCAGGACTCGAACTGTGGTCAGCCATGTGGGAGTGTTCAGTGCCTTAACCACCATGCCACCTGCTGGCCCCATATGATAGCATTTTCAATGGCAAAAGAACAAAATACAGCAAACACAGTGAATACTTGTCAATAAGAAAATGACTGAATAAATTTGGTTTATTTATACTACGGAATGTCATATAGCTGCTCAATTTCCCTTTGTGATATCTTCAGTATATATGCTTTATAAAACAGTTTTAAAATATGTTTGTGTGTACTTGAGCACTTACAGGAAAATGAAGAAAGGTGTGGAAGGACGCATACCTGGTTGTAAACACTAATGGAGACAGTATCTGGAGAAAGAGGAAAAGCAATTAAAACACTTTTTAGTTCATGATGCATTTAAAAAGTATGTATCAAATTTACAGAACACTTGAAAATATGTGATTTTTTAAAACACTTCATTTTAAGTATGCTTTTGAAAAATTCTTAATTTTTTAAAAAAATTATTTTTATTGGGACCAGCAGGTGGCATGGTGGTTAAGGTGCTGGACACTCCCACATGGCCAACCACCATTTGAATCCTGAACCTGGTGACTTGCTTTCTCACTCCTCCCCTATCCCTGGTCAAATTAAAATAAATGAATGAATAAATAAAATTAAATAATTAAAAAAATTTTTTATTTAACTTTATTCATTTATTTTAATTTGACCAGAGAGGGACAGGGTGAGAGAGAGAGAGAGGAAAAATGAGAAGGCAAGCTGCCAGGTCCAGGACTTGAATCGTGGTCAGCCATGTGGAAATCCAGCACCCTTAACTACCATGCCACCTGCCGACCCTAAAAAATTCTTAATTTTAACAAATGTGTATTGCTCATAGAACAGGATTATTTGTGAACTAACTCCTTAGGTCTGGATAGACAAATCTGAAGTACATCCAACTTAGAATTCACTGTGCTCAAAAATGGTGACCTTTGGGTTAGCTCAGCCTAAACTTTTGTCCAGTACCACGGCAGGAAACTTCATTTTTACTGCTTACCTATTTCCTTTTTCTATCTTCCATTCTGGCTATTTCTTTTTAAATTTCTTTTTTATTTTATTTTTTATGCTCACACGCTGTTGGCATTCTGTGGGGCTCTGCTGCGAATGCACTTTCTTTCTCAGTTTTCTGTTAGGTGGCTCATTGCTGTGAAGAGCCCAGGTCTGCTGCCTGCTGCTGCCCACCCATGCACTCAGATTCCCACCACTTGAGGAGTTAGCTTACTCACCATCTGTGCTTACTGACTGCCCATGGACATACTCTGGATAGTAGCACATTAATAGTTCTAGAATTGTGAGAAGGCAAAGTCCTCTTCTCCATGCTTTCCTTCATCCCATGGGATACCAGCCTCATTGTTCTCCTGGAAGTAAGAATAGAAACACCTCCATCTGGATTAAAAAAACATACTAGCCTTCT